TTCTTAATGTGGCTTCTCCATGTGACTAGTTTGGTTCGTCACAGCATGAGTCCCAAAGTGCTTGGATTTCTTACATTGTGGCTGGCTTCTCCAAGAGCAGAAAAACAGAAGCTGCCAGGTCTTCTTAACACATAGGTTCCAAAAGCATAGGTCACCTTCACAGTATTCTATTGATCGAAACTGTCATCCCAGGGCCAGCCCACTTGCAAGGGGAACAGACTCCACCTCTTGCTGGGGGAGTGGTGAGGTCACTTTGCTGACCAGAATGGGGGCTGGGAAGTATTGTCGTGGCCATCTTTGGACAACAGAGTCTGTCACATCCAGCACGTGTGACAGGAAGGTGGGGATTAATGCCCCTAGGGGGCATCCTTAAGCAATGATGGTGGGAACTGGTGGATAAATGCAGGTCCCCTGCCCTCAGACCTATATTGGACAGGTTCTTCAGGGGATCACCAGCAGGATCGAGGCCCAAATGCCCACAATGGAACTAGCTCAACAATGCCCTTTTAATTACTTTTTGTTCTCCCCCATCTTTATCTCCCTCTTCCTTCTGCTACTTCCTCCAAAAATCCCTCAGTTCGGGTTTCAGGTCTTCCTCCCTTGAGATACCAAACCAAGACACTCAGTTTCTTTGTTTGAAAAAGCCCCTCAGTGGAGGCTGTAAAATATTGCCCCTGACTCCCAGGGCTGTTGAGTAATCCTGCAGGAATGGACATAAAAGGGCTTTGTAAATTGGCCTCTGGGAGCTGAGGTGAGCTGTCACTTTGAGCAAAGACACTCTAGAGGGAAGCATGGGGTCAGGGGGCCGCTAGGGTGGGAGGCCCAGACCCTGATCATCAGGAAGTAGTGACTGGGCTGCCTTAGGGATGATGAGAGTTGAGGACAGAGAGGTGTGGGGAAACGCAAAAGGGGGTGTGGACAGAGGTGCTTTCAGGGGTGTGAAGAAATAAGGTGTGCTGTGTCCTTGTCCTGCCCACCACATTTGAGTGACTTAGCACAATTAAGTGACTCACCAGGCCACTGCAGTCTGTGACAAGGTCCCTCAAGATCATCCACCCAGCTTTGCTGGGACTTGCCCTTGTGGAATAAGACTTGCCTCCTGATTGGCCTCTGCCCCGGGAAGAGAGGAACTAAATAAGATTCCAGGACTCTGGTTCATTCACTTTCCATTCAGTAAACACTGAACAGCTGAGCTCTCTTCCATGCCAGGCCCTGAGGTAGGGATCCAAAAGTGAGCAAGCCTGTTCTCTCCGAGGCTCCTAGTTGGGGTCAGTTGGTGTTTGAGACCAAGAGACAAGCAGCCTGAACAGCACGAAGCAGTGGTTTGCTGAGGGAGGCACTCTGGGCACAGAGGAGGGACATCTGACCCAGAATCTGGAGGGAGGGCAAGCAGTTGTGGAACTCGTCTTGGAGAAGCTGATGTCCGCCTTAAACTCCAACAAGTCTTAGGACTTAGCCAGGAGACAGGCAGGGCATATTCCTGGCAAAGGAAACAGGCATGGCCAGCTGGAGAGGGAGGAGGGCCGGTAAGAGCAGGGGAAGCCACTGATGAGTCTAAAGCAGGAGATAAAGTGGTCAGATTTGAGTTTAGGATACATCCTGCTGGTTGCAGTGAGGGCCATGTGGAAGGGAGACGAGCTAAGGGGGCTGGCTTGCTTCATTCATTCATTCATTCATTCATTCAACAAACATCTGTGGAGTCCTTGCTAGATGCCAGGCCCTGTGCTGTTGTGGAGATCCAGGTGAGGAGCCGTAGTGGCCTGGATCGTAGTGGCCAGGACGGTGGCCAGGACAGAGGGGAGGGGCGTAGATTTGGGGAGGCGCTCTCACTGGTACACAAAAACATTCTAGCAATTTCTGAACTGGTATCCTGCTCCTGGGCCAGTTGTGTATGAGTCTGGAAAGTGAGGATCCGTTACTTCAGGGGTGGAGAGCTTATTTACAGGGGCCCATAGAAGGACAGCTATTCCAGGAGCCGTCATCCAGAGCAATGTGGCTCAACCTGCCATCTCCTTCCCTCTCATTCTGCCTGGGCTCAAGGAAGCTTCCATGTGGTCGAGGTGACTGGCCCTCTCCAGTAAGGGGGTGAAACCCAGACATCCTGGTTTCTTTTTATCGACTCTGGCATGGAGCTGAGTGACTCTGCTGGGACCAAACAGAGGGCAGAAGCCCAGCTGGGACAGTTTGTGCTTGTTTCTCTATTTTCGTGCTCCTCTCCCCCTCAGATTGCAGACTCTTTGGGGGTAGGAACTATCTCCTCTATCTGACCGTGTTTTCTGAGGGTGTCTCCCCCATTAGATTAGGGACTTCTCGAGGGTAGCGTGACTGGAAATGCAAGTCAGGGAAGCTGTTTTGCTGCTGCTTAATAGTTTGGATTTTAAAAAAATAATACCTGTGGTGAGGGTTAAAAGAGGAGACAAGATTGAAAGAGGCTTGGGAAATATAGACGAGACATAAATACCAAGCACAAACCATGAACAATGGTCAGAAATGAGAGTAAAGGGAATCAGACTGTAAGCTCCATGAATGCAGGGATTTTTGTCCATTTTACGGTTGTTTTCCAAGTGCCCAGAACAGAGCCTGGTATGTAGTTGGTGCTCAGTGAACATTAGTTGAATAAATGAATGGGGAGTCCAGGTGGTGACTGTGAAGAACAGAGTGCCAGTTTACTGCTAGGACAAGAATGCTTCTGGGCAGTAGCAGGGAGGGCCAGAGTTCAAGGAACTGCCGGTCCCACTGGAGTGGGAGTGTGCACTCCCAGAGCCCTATGGGTCTCTGGGGGTTGAACAATGTACCCTGTGAGCCAGTAGGTCTGACTCGGGTTACGAATCTGGCAACAGCAGAGGTATTCTCTGCCAGGGTCCTCTCCCTTGACACCCAAACCACCTCTTCTATCTCCACCCTTGACAGCTCAGGCACTGTGACGAGACCATGTCCCCTGCACTGTACCTCTCCTCTACTCCTGACCTCTCAGGAATTTGGGTCCTTCTAGGCCCCGCCCTCTGCTCCAGTGTCCCATTTCCAGACCTTTTGCTCAGAAAGCTCCCCACTGTGGCCCAAGACCACATCTCCACCCCAGTCTCCTGTTTGCGTTTTATCTATGAGCACAGTTCTGTGAAGCTGTGCCCCTGTAGCTATGAGCCTTCCTCTCCTTAACTGCAAATGGGGCCGAATAACCTGTGCCACAAAGAAGCTCCGAGCTGTATTTGTCAAAAGGCTTTGTGAAATGGTCAAGTGCAAAATAAAGGCAATAGTTCGTGCGAAATTAAGGCAGCGCTTAATGTGATGGAACTGTTCCCTTGAGGCTGAAAGAGGCTAAAGCAAAACCAGGGAACCTCGGACCTGCGTGTGTGTTTGTGTGAGGGGTGTGGGGAGATGTTTTGGTAGAGGGAGGGATGATGTATCAAGTAGTTATAGAATTGGTTTGTATTTTAAACACACGATCCTTTGCAAACACATCCATATTCTCATTAAAAATGTCGTTCAGTTCTGAAATCACAGAATCTTTCATTTTCTCCAACAGACTCCCAATTTTAACTGTCCTGTGTGCTGTTGGGAGAAAGCCCTGAAATTGTCACAGAAGACGCCAATCTCAACGGACCCGAGTGAGGCTGTGTGGGTTTGAATCCAAGCTCCCTACCCATTGAGATCTTGCACAAGCCACCTCTCAGTGTCTGTTTCCTTGTCTATAAAATGGGGATGCAATACCCACCACATAGAATCGTTGCAAGAACAAACAAGTTCATTCACGTATTACTGAGCTAAAGCATGCCGGGCAGACTGGTGACGCGGGTTTGCCATTATCACCCCCACCTCTCTCCTTTTGCTCCCGACTCTCCTTCCTGGTTCTTGGGACTCCTTCTGCAATGCTCCTTCCCTATCCTCATTCAGATTTGTTAACTGCCACCCCTTCGAGGCCTGTCCTGATCACCTCATCGTAGGTAGCCTGCCCTTCCTCCATCGCCTCATCTTTCATTTTCTCCCTTCCAGACCACCCAACTCGCCTCTTGACTCTGAGGCTGTCCTCAGTCCTCCCTGCCCCCACAACCTTGCCCTCCAACTTCAGCACCCTGTCCCAACCCCTGCCACCCCCACCACAGCACACACCAGACTAGCCTGTCCATCTCATGTTTTATTGTAAAAATGTTAAAATAAATTACATTTGACATCATTGCCGGTATGTACATACAGTGTGTGCAATTGCAGAACAGCCAGTGACGCTGCAGCAAGGCAGGGCGAGGAAACTAGGATGAATTCATTAAAACATTTCACAGAAAAACAAAAGGCCGCTCCTTCATGCCTGGCTGCCGGGCCAGCATAGCCCTCGGTTACAGGATGAACTGGGGGTGTGGGCACACATGCCCATCACTACCTTCACATGTTGGGGGGTGGGTGGGGTTCTGGCTCCATCTGGCCACACAGTACCGGGGAGGGGGCTGAGAGGCAGAGCTGTTTGGGTCAAGGGTGATCCCTTAACTCCTGCCCAGCATCCATTGCCTGTGATGGGTACCCTTCCCCAACTTTGCTCACCTGCCAGCAGGCGCCCTCTCCCACACTATGTCGCGACGCTTGACATCGTGACCTTGACTGAGGTCACTGAGAAGGGCCCAAATGAGTGGGGGTAGGAGGGTGAACACTGAACACCCCAATCCTTGGGACCCTGCTCTTTCACCTTCTTTTCCTCTCTGGCTCTGAAGCCAACAACGGGTGCCAGGCATATAAAAAACAGCAGTTTATTTAAAAAATAACAAAACAAAACATACAGGGCAGAGCAGGCTGGCCCCAAGGTGTGTATCACGGAGAATCTAAGATCTCCGCCAGCCCCTCACCAGAAACAGTCTGTGTACAGTTTCACATTATCTTTTGCTCCTCCCGTCGCAAATCCTTTCCTTTCATTCTCTCTCTCTCCCATCACCCCCCTCCCCCTCCCTCCCGCACACCTGTGCATGCTCGCGTGCTCTCTCTCTCTCTCTCACACACACACACCCCAAACAGTGGACTCTCTCTCTCTCTCACACACACACACACACCCCAAACAGTGGCTAGAGGGAGGAGCTTGATTCACATATTTGGCCATTCCCCACTTGTGAGCCAAGAGCAACCTGGGGAGCGGTGAGATCGTTGTTCTGGGCACAGGGGAGATGGAAGGGTATGGGGGACGCAGACCAAGCCAGAGTTGAGCTCACTCCTGTAGCTCCCAGGAGCTACAGCCTCAGTGGCATGACCTGCTACCTTCTCCTCCTCCCACCACTTCCTGGGAGGCAGAAAACCTGCAGCTACCACTGCTTGGCCAAAGGGTATCTGAGACAGAGAACTGGTCTCTGGGCTGGGCTGGCAGTCCCAGTAAACCAACAAGGGCTAGGACGCCTGCCCAAGCACCCCTGGGACTTGCTCTGGGCCCTACATATCAGGAGTGTTGCAGCACCAGCCCATTATTTCCTCTCTCCCTTCCCCCAGGTGACCTCTTCCCTACTGAGTTTTGCAGTAAGGGCCAGTCAAGCGGACAGGTGGGATTGGGGTTGGAGAAATCCTTGCCCCAGGCAGGGCCCTGCTCTTGTTGAGGCCTGAAGTGCCCGGGTCTCACCCTGCCCTCCTCCTCTCTCCGAAATGCCTAGCTCAGTGCCAGGCACACACACAAAAAGCCCACTAATACTGGTAAACTCAAATGGCTGAGGGCCCAGACTAAGAGAACCGTGTGACATTCTCAACCAAATGATGGGGCAAAGACCCACGCAGTGCAGGCCTCTTTGGGGTCAGTCCTACCAGCAAACATGTCTTTGAACCGTCAAATATACCAGCTGTGCTTAGGACAGATGCCTCCCACTGCCAGGGTGCCAGTTCAGCTGGAAAACAGAGGCCCTGTCCTGGGCACGTGCCATGCTTGACAGTGGTGTCTAGCTGGAGGGGATGGAAGGTAAGGAAGGCCCCTAGCCCCCCACTCCCAGTTCCAGGGGGTCCCAGCCATAGTAGCATGCCCCAGGACTGAGGGCAATGGAAGCCATCAAAGGTGGAGTGGGGAGCCGGCCCCGCCTCACGTGTCTCTGGGGCCGTTTGCCTTATTGTACTCGTTCATAAGCTGTTCGTAAGGCACAGAGACCTCTGACTCGGTGCTAGTAAAGGTCGATTCGTCCGATGAGGGGAGCTCACCCAAGTTCAAGGGCACCTCAGCCTCAGCCTCTTCCTGGGGCCTTTCCTCCCCGGCCAGGTTGTCCTCCAGCGAGGACTTTGACGTCTCCTCGTCCAAGAGGCTGGTCTCCTCGTTCACAAAGGTGATGTTGGCGTTCTGGAAGATGAGCGGGTGGTAGTCCTGGGCGTCCCATGGCTCGCCCTCCTCACTGATGCGGTCCAGCTGGTTAGTGAACACCTCAGGGGTAGGGGAGCCATCCTCGGGGGGCCCTGCCCTGGCCTCCTCGCCGGGGGCCCGAGACACATGGCCTTTGCTCCTTAGTGTCTGAGATACCTCTTCCAAACTGGGCACCCGGTTCTTGGAATAGAGCACCATGGGGGCCAGGGAGGCAGGGATGGCTGGCAGCCCACTCTCCTGAGGCCCCGGCCCCGGCCCCGGCCCCGGCCCCAGCCCTGGGACCCTCTCACCACCCCCGCTCGTCTTCATTGCCTTCTTCCCAATCTGCTTGATGAGGTCATTGTAGGTCTCCTCCTTTTTGGACAGAAAGCTGAAGATGTTGACGTCCTTGGATGCCGTGTTCCCTGCTATCTGCAGAGCCTTTTTGGAGTGTGGGGAGCTCTCGAAGGACTCCTTCCGCCGTCGCCGCCGCTTCTTAATGGCCTTGTGGACCTCCACGAACATGCTCACCTTCCAGTTGACAAAGAGGGACAGCCAGGCCAGCCCCAGGTAGATCCAGAGCTCCACAAAGTAGCGGTACAGGGCGTGGTAGTTGGCACTGGGGTTCACACCTGAAGACAGGACAGGAAGCCCAGAGGGTCAGGAGAGGGACCCGGAAACACTCAAGGGCCAAAGATGTGTTATCTGAGAAGGCGCACATCGCCAGAACACAGAAGGGGACAAACTGAGAAAAGGAGACCGTTCCGGAACCTGGACTACTCCACTGTCACAGAGGGCCTTGACCCGGTGAGTCATGTGCCTATCCTAGTCCCCAAGTGGCCTGAGCCTCAGTTTCTTCGACTGCTGAAAGTCAGAAGAGTGGTTCCCTGGGGAGAGGGAGGTTCAAGGGGGAAGGGCTCTGGGGAGGCTGGTATTGGAGCCAGCACATAGGCCGGGAAAACAGTCCATGAATGTCTGCCTTTCAGTTAGTCACCTATATCTACACTATCTACACTTAGCTATTTTCTGTACTGTTTTGGTATATATATTATAGTTCATTTAAAACTGGGCCAGAAATTAAATGACAGCCTCATTGCTGGGGATGGACTCACTGGCTTACATAAACGAGGCCAAGAGGACTTGTGAGCACTGGTCCCGGCGGGAAATATTCTGGACAGCCTTGACTCTCCTTCGGTGAGGTCTGGCCTGCTTCCTCATTTCATTTCTTCCCTCCTTGGATCGGTTCCTCCCATGGCCTGGAGGGCTCTGCTCACTCCACATCACCCTCTGCCAAGGCCAGGTTCCTGACACCTGCTCCAGGGAGCCCTCCCACATGGCCCCGCACAGTTCCGGTTGCTCTCCAACACTCTAAGATTATCTGAGATTTGTTTAATTTTCCATTTACAGGCATGTTAATCTATACCATTATGTATCCTGTGTTGCCCTTTCCCCCTGAGACGGAGCAACCTGGAAAAGGGACTGGAGAAAAGGGGCTTCCTCCAGAGTGGGGCTCCCTCATCTAATTAAAGGTTCCCCAAAGGCAGTGGCCATCCGCCCTGCAGACAGAAGGTGCTGCTACGCTCACTCGGGGCTTTTGGGCATATGCAAGTTATGCTGACAACCTGCGCACACGCTCATATAGCCGGGCCCTCCTGTCAGCACTGATAAACTGCAACTTATCTGATTTTCCACTGCCCTATGAGATAGGTGCTATTACATTTTTTTAAACCCATTTTATAGATGAGGACACTGAGGCAGAGGCTTGGTGTCTTGCTGGAGCTGAGAAAGTATGATGAAATACCCTGCTGTGCTTCTCCACTACAAAAGTTTTTCCTTAGCCTGCTCTGGGCCCCAATGGCTAGACAATGGCAGGATTGTGCCTCTGTCTAACTTCATCTCCTAAAATAGTAGGCCCAGGTCTGCCAGGTCAGTGGAGTATTCAGGCCTCTCTTTCCTGTTCCTCCCACCCGATCAGCCACCCTTCCCGGCATTCCCAAGTCTCCACTTATAATGGGGCAGAAGGGTAGTGACCTGGCCCTGGCCCCTGGGAAGGGAGATAGGGAGACCAGGCCCTCGGAGCAGAGGCTAAGGTCAACCGGCCAGGGCAACGGGCACTGAGTCAGTGAACAAACATTGGGTCAGTGAGGCCAAATGTGGTGTCAAGAAGATTAAGAACCAGGATTTTCTGCAGGCCACAGGCACAAGTACTGAGTGGCTGGGACTGGACGAAGGGGCCAAAGATCTTATTGCCTGCCTGGATGAAGTAGGGGAGGGAATCTTGCCCAGATTCCCTGCCCTACTAAAGAGGTAGGGCAGCCTGGGAGAAGGCCTCTTATGTTTAAACTGCCTGTGGCAAGAGCAAAGTTTTGGGTCTCTGAGCCAAGCCTCCAGGACAACTCCTTCAGCTCTTGTAATTCATGGAAGGCAGGCAGCTCTGTGTGAAGGAAGAGCCTGGCTTGGCTTCGGGGCTCTCTGGGTAACGGGCACAAACCCTACAAGCAGAAGGCCCTATCCCCCGCGCCTGGTGCACCTACGCACCTAAGTTTAGGAGATGGGGAAGAAAAGAGGGAGAGGAAAAGATCAGATGCTAAACATGAAGAAAGGAAGTGAAGAAAGCCATGTATCAAGAAAAGAAAATAGAAAAGCCTTTTGCAGTTACTCTGTGCCTTGGTTTCTTCTTTCAAATGGCAGGATAGGGTAAGGACCCCCGCGGGGTGGGGGAAGTACCTAGGACACTGAATGCCAATCGGGGCTCCCAAGAGAGGTCAAATGAATTGAGATTGGAGAAGCAGGGGAAGCAGAGGCAAGGGGAGAAGGCGAGACTTACCAGCCACAAAGTCGCCAAAGCCGATGGTGGAGATGGTGGTGAAGGAGTAGTAGAAGCCCTCGATGTAGTCCCACTCCTCGGTCACCATGAACACCAAGGGCGGGATCACCAGATGGACGAGGACACCCCACACAATGAAGATGGCTGTGCACGTGATTTGTGCCTTCCGCTGATGGGGTGACAGGGAGACCAAGTCAGACATGGTGGAGAGACTAGGGGAATCCAGCATGAACACCCAGAGGGCCGGGGAGGTGGCGAGAGGGGAGGCCAGCTAGGCACCACACCTGGGAAGGGGCTCACTGCCCAGGGAAGGAGAGAGGAGCAATGTTCCCAGCCTAACCCAGGAGGGCAGAGGGCTCTGAAACTGCCTTCTTGCCATCTGTCCAAACACCTTTGGATCTTTCTGGATTCTTGGATCCTTCCCACCCCCTCCCATCACCTGCCAGGGTCCCCTCATCTCTGCTCAGCACCTAGGATTGAGGACATACCAGGCTCACGCCTCTCTTCATGAGGAACTGGCCCAGCCGCTTTGCACGTCCCCCAAAGAACTTGCCCAGGGCACTGATCCACGTCAGGCAGAGCGGCACTCCGAAGAGACCATAGAAGACACAGAAGAGGCGCCCAGCGGGGGTCTTGGGAGCCACGTTGCCATAGCCTGAGGAAGTAAAGAAGTGAAGCTAAGAACAGAGCCATAGCAGGGGTAAGGGACCCAGACTCAGAGTAGTTCTTGCTCTATCTCACACACACACACACACACACACACAGCTTGAGGGAGACCCATTCTCTAAGATCACTTGACCTAATATCACTACTTAGGAAACGACATTTCCCTTGGTCACACTATGGTCATGATCATTTATAGCAATTATAATAGTACGGGCTATGTCTGCCACCAGATGGGGAGCTCCCTGAAACCAGACTAAACCCCCACCATTAGCAAGTCTTCTCGTCTGTATGGCATCAATTTGCAAATTAGAAAAAGATGCCCTCTCTGGGTAGATACTCTAGAGGCACTGTAGTAGCTGGTCTCCAAAGAGAGACATTCTTCATCCCTTCCCTTCTCATGCAGGCATGCTGCCGCTCATGTCAAGCTACAGTCTAATTCCCCTCCCTCTGAATTTGGGCTTTAGTGACTCACTTGACCACAGAGTGCAGCAAAAGTGACAAGAGGTAGTCTACGTCTAAGAAGCCTGCTGCTTCCCCCCCGATCTCTTGAAATGTCTGCTTTTGGGATTTTCCTTCCTAGAATCCAGCTGCCATACCATGGGATGATCACGCCATTGTATTTTCATCCCTAGCTGAGCTCCCAGCCAATGGCCGGCATCAACTATCGAACATGTGATAGAAGAAGACATCTTGGATGTCTGCCAGCAGGGCTTTCAGACAACTCCAACCCCAGCCACCACGGCTGCCACTGCATCAAGAGACCTCAAGCAAGAACTGACTGGGTGAACCAGTCAATCCACAGAACGGCCAAAGATAAGAAGTTGTATTTTAAGTCACTAACTTCTGGGGTGGCTGGTTATGCAGCCAGCCATAGATAATCAGAATAGATACCCAGCTTGTTGAGCAAGCATAGGGAGGCTGGCTTTGTACAGTGAACAACCTGTTTAACCTCCTCATAGCTTTGGCTATCAGGTTGTGTCATATTTCTGCTCCAAAAGCCCAGGTCAGGACTCCTGGAACACAGTCTCCCAGGCATGGCCAGTCACCAAGGATTTATTAAATTCCCAGGGAAAAATGTCAAAAGAACAGGCTGCAACTGGCCTGATTTTATCATGACAAGGCCAGAACTGAAGCTAGAGCCTGGAAGCAGGTATCCTGAAGGTATCAGAAGACTAACCGATGGTAGTGATGACTGTGGCTGCAAAAATCACTGCGTTGGGCCAGTTCCAGTTGTTGAAGGTCTGGTTGCCTGTGATGGCCACACCCTGTCCTGCAGCATCAGATACCACCTAAAAAGAGAGACAATGAAGGTCAGAGAGGAGGCCAGACTAACAGATGCTTTCTAAGTGACAGCACTCTATTAAACTCCTTATAAACATTCTCATTTAATTATCACAGTAATGAGGTGGCAGTTACTGTCTCCATTTTATAGATGATGAAACATTTTATAGAGGATCAGAGAGGTTAAGTGATTTGTCCAAGATCACACAGCTAGTAAGTACAGTTGCTCTTCGATTTGCAATGGGGTTACATCCCAATAAACCCATCATAAGTTTGTAAGTCAAAAATGCATTTAACGCACCTAACCTACCAAACACCACAGTTTAGCCCGGTCTACCTTAAACATGCTCGGAACGCAGTGTCCAAAAACACTGGCAACAACACAGTGCACTGTAGAGGGTGTCTGTTGTTTACCCTCATGATCGCAGGGCTGACCAGGAGCTGCGGCTTACTGCTGCTGCACAGCCTCACGAGAGAGTATCCTACCGCATATCACTGGTCAGGAAAAAGCTCAAATTTCAAAATTCGAAGTATAGTTTCTACTGAATGCGTATCACTTTCACACCATCACAATGTCAAAAATTCCTAAGTCAAACCATTGTAAGTCAGGGACTATCTGTATGAAGCCTGGGCAATTTGGCTCCAAATGTTTGCCTCTCCGTGAGCCACAGTGCTTCTCAAACTAACATGTACCAGAATCACCAGGAGAGCTTGTTAAATACAGACGGCCGGGCCTCGCCCCCAGTCTCTGACTGAGTAGGTCTGGGAAGGGGTCCAAGAATTTGCATTTCTAACAAGTTCCCAAGTGATGCTGAAGCTACTGGTCCAGGGACCACACTTTGAGGACCCCTATACTAAACTATTCTGCTTCTCAAGGAGGGCAGATTGTGATGCAGACACATAGGAGGACCCTTATACCACACCCGGCCCTCTACAGAGAAGTGTTCTACTACAGGGTTGGCCTGGGAGGGACCCTTACACACCACACACTCCACCCCCCACTCACTGTCAGGATATCTGCTACAGTCAGTTCAGTGCCCTCTTGGATCTGTCCTCCAAGGCTGCCTTTTCCCTGTGCCTGGGGCTCTATCCTCTTCCCCCTACAGG